TTGAAACTCTTCTTTACTGTTCAAGAATCTGTGACACCATCTCCCTTTTTCTTGGGGCAAGTATTTGCAATCAAAGTACTATGACAAAGGCTCATGTTGTAACATGCTGGATATTTATTCATTTTGTACGTCAGCCTACTCTTGCCTGTTTAGGCATATACAAAACCGCAAGATACCTATATATGTAGGAAATTCTTACAAAGAGCAAAATCTGCGTAAATTGAAGACATTCAGTGTTGAGCTATTTTTGACATAGGCATTCAAGCAGCTACGAGGAGAATGAAAAGATTAAGAATGAGCTTGACCTTAATTACACAGAAAGACATAATTATAATTTAGATACTTCAAGAATGTAGGGGTCAGCAAGAGCAAGCCTGAAGGTAGACATGTGACAAAAATAGAATACAATCTTATCTGCTCTGGAACCACATGCCACTTCTATATTTGTTTGAAGTATTGGTGTTTGTGCATTTAAATACCGTATTTTTCGCTCCATAAGACGCACCTTTCCATAAGATGCACCAATTTTTTAGGAGAAGAAAACAGGAAAATATAATCTGTTTTCTTCACTCTATAAGACGCACAGACTTTCCACCCCCCTGTTTTGTGGGGGAAAAGTGCGTCTTATGGTGCAAAAAATACGGTATATCTAATCCACTCTATACAGTATTAGCAGATCTCAGAGCAGGATATAATCAAAGAAACTGCAGTTTAAACACTTTAAAACAATTAAATTTAAGCAAAATGCAACCTACAATTTTGAAAAATCAAAAACTTTGGGTGTGACTGCACAGCAGGGAAAACCCAGTTTGATTCAAAGTTTTTCAGACTAGGTTTCTGCTGGTTTCTGTGGGTTAAATCACTACAGCCCATCTATATGATGCAGGAATCCACAAGAGAGAAGCAGAAAGTTTTAGTCATTGCTGCAAATTAAAAATCCAATGTTTGCAACCACTGATGTCTTAAGCGGCAATTCAAGGTTCACAGCAGTGGATTTACATGGGCAGTCACAATTAATATGTTTCTAGCCAATGTTAGTACCAGCTGGACCCCTAAGTGGAAGGCATATCACAACCAGAGTCCTACAGCCAAGAAGGCCTTCTTTTGCATTTCCATGTGGTAGAATGCAGGGAAGCATCCTCTGCAACCCAAGAGATTTTAATGATCAGGAAAGTGTATACAGGGAAAAGCACCCTAATTACCTAGGTCTAAATATAGCCATTTAGGCCTTGAAAATCGTGATCTACACATTGAACTTAAACCTAACAGCCAGCACAGTTCCTTTAAAAATAGTGTCATATAGTTCCTATAATGCATGTGTTTCAGTTTGTACTGGCTACAGCCTTCATGTTATCTTCAAGGGTATCCCTGAGTGTAGTTCATTGTAGTTACTTCTGGTAGGGATGGTCTTGGCTGGTGGGCCAGCAATTGATCAAAAGCACTCTGAGGCACTGAGAACAATGACAAAGGTAGATATAGATGGACTCCCATGGTTCAGCTCTGCTGCTTGTGGATGTTAACCATGCCATCCAGCATAAGTTGCTTACCCAAGTACAGTGGTGCCTCGCATTATGACGTTAATTCGATCCAGCGAAATCGCTGTAGAATGAAAACATGGTAATGCGAAATAAAAAAGCTGATAGAAACGCATTAAAACCTTATTAATGCGTTCCTGTGGGCTTGAAACTCACCGTCCAGCGAAGATCCTCCATAGCGCAGCCGTTTTCGCTGCCCGTGCAGCAAGGAATCTGTCCCAGAAAAGAGCAGGGAGCCATTTTTTTACCCGGCGGCCATTTTGAAACCACCAATCAGCTGGCCGAAAATCGTCGTTTTGCAAGAATCGGTTCCCGAAGCAGGGAATCAATCATCACAAGGCAAAAAACCCCATTTAAAACATTGTAAAGCAATCGCTTTTGCGATCGCAAAAAGTTCATTGGGATGCGATTTCGTCGTTAAACGGGGCGCTCGTCTTGCGAGGCACCACTGTATAGGGTATGTGATCCAATGCACCAGAGTCTTTATCTTGTTCACATTTAAGAGTTTTGGCCTGATCATATTAGTACATTACACATACCTCCTATGAGTCTCATGAAAAGTTTTAGCTAATAAAATATTATGCATGCATAATGACTTTTAACTTTACCTAATTACTGGTTGATGGATGTTAAAGTTAACGTAAAGGGTCAAAGAAACATAAATGAAAATTTCCACAGTGTCCAATTTATTTAACTCTCAGCATTGGAATGGGATTTCTCTAGCTTGGGTTTTCAACACACACACAGAGAGAGAGAGAGAGAGAGAGAGAGAGAACTAAAACTAAAAGTGGGTCAGGAAATTAAACTTTCAGTTTTAGTTGTTTTTTTCCATCCATTGCTGCAGTCTACAGAAGGGAATGTGGTGTGGAGAAATATGGCTTAGGATGGGAAGAGGCATGGAGAAGAACTGAAGCAAAAATTGTAATGCTTAACAAGGGTAATAACCAGCTTTTAACAACACAAAATTATTCCTGCTTTAAGGATTCTAAAGGCAAAAATAGAGGAAGATTCTGGAGCTAATATCAGCTTCTCAGTGGTACATAATTCATAGTTCCTATATATACTGTATTTTTCCATGTATAAGATGTTATTTTTTCCTAAAATCATTACACTAACAATTGAGGTGCATCTTAAACACAGAAGTAAGCTGAGATAGCTGAGAAGAGAATAAAATGGCACATGCCTTGCCTCTGTAAACAGGCTCCCTTCCGTCACAAGGCTTAGCTTCCTACAATCAGGAGACTTAGCTTCCTCCAAACACAAGCCTTATGGAACTGAAATCAGCTGATGCTGTACAAGCCAGTTGTTGGAGGTGGAGCCTGTAGGCTGAGATTCAACAGGGACTCGTAATGTCCGAGCGTTCTGAGCCCCGAGGCTGAATTCTCAAAGCTACGTTTTCTTAATTTTGGGGTTAGAAAAGTGGGGGGTGTCTTATAATTGGGGGGTGTTATAAACAAAAAATATGGTACTAGCTGTGTTCTTTTCACGTGTCTTATAAATGGGGGGTGTTATAAACAAAAAAATACGCTACTAGCTGTGTTCTTTTCAAATGGACAGACCCATTCAAAAAGATTCATTATAGATGGAACTGTTTATGACTTCTTTAATGTCATTTATGTTTTTAATAAATAAATAAAATCACAGTATTTGCAAACGTAAGTTGTAGTAACTGCATTTCCAGAAAGTAAGAGGAAAAATGGAGAGAGCAAAACATAATTCTCACAGTCACTCCTCTCACATTGAGAGAGAACATTCTGATTCATGAAACACTAATCATTTGGCTTTCCCCCCTCTTTTTAGGCTAAAGGATACGCACAACTATGGACTGGAAATCACTCCATGCCATCTTAGGAGGTGTTAATAAACACTCTACCAGCATTGGAAAGATCTGGCTTACTTTCCTCTTCATTTTCCGAATCATGATTCTTGTGGTTGCTGCGGAAAAGGTGTGGGGAGATGAGCAGCAAGATTTTACTTGTAACACACTACAGCCAGGATGCAAAAATGTCTGCTATGATGAACATTTCCCAGTTTCTCATATTAGACTTTGGGCTCTCCAAATTATCTTTGTCTCCACTCCTGCACTTCTGGTGGCAATGCATGTCGCTTACAGAAAGCACGAAAAGAAAAGGGAATGCAAACCTGGTGATAAAGATGACATCGAAAATCTGAAAAAGCAGAAATTTCACATTGAGGGTGCACTATGGTGGACGTACACCAGCAGTATCTTCTTCCGAATAATTTTTGAAGCTACCTTCATGTATATATTTTATTTTATGTACAGAGGATACAAAATGCCTCGTTTGGTGAAATGCAGTGATTTTCCTTGTCCAAATACTGTAGACTGTTTTATTTCCCGACCCACTGAGAAAACTGTATTTACCATTTTCATGCTGGCCGTATCAGGCATCTGTATGCTCTTAAATTTACTTGAGTTATTGTATTTGATGCTAAAGTCTTGCATGAAAAAACCTCAGACTGTGAAATCACTGCCTAGTCATTAAGTAGATGTTCATATGACCATATATCTAATCTGATATCGGTCATGGAAATTGAGCAACCATATTTCTAGGCTCCATTAAAGTAATACAAGGCACTTATTTAATAGCTGTTGTATTCTGTTCAACACCTGCTGCAGATTTGCAGTATGGCAGGGCCTACTGCAGTGCCGTCTGAAACTGTTGTAAATTAACTCTTCTTCTGAAAAGCTCATCTATTTTTACATGAAAATAATAAAATGTTTTTGAAGTGTCTGGCTATTGTTTATCTACATAATCGAAGCTACACAACACAGAAGTATTATAATTAATGCAGACCTTTGACATCTAAGACATGTATGATATGTAGTTTTTCATGATTTGGTGACTCATTGTTACACTGGCCTTTTGTTTAATTTATTTTATTTTATTTGCTCTTTCATAGTAAAAGAGAGCCCATGAATTTCAAACATATTAATTACTGCTTATCTAGTGGTTTCTTCTAGATTCACAGGACATGGAAAACTGCCCTGAAATCCAGCAGTAACTCACAGCTAGAGTAGACCCATTGAATCAAAGGGAATTTGGTGAGTCAACTTATCTATAAATTTTATTGATTTTATGGACCTATGCAACTTGTGAGTAAAACTGGATTTCAGACAGCATTTTCTTAACTTCTTTGCTCTTCTTCTATTAACTTCAGTTAGATTTAACTAGAGCTTGGGAAAGTTGTCCTTTGTTCCTTTCGTTTTTAAATTACAGCTTCCTGAGTCCCACAGGCAGCTTGGACAGTGAAATTGTGACTTGTCCCAATAAAACCACAATTTTAAGTTAGTCTCTTTAGACAACTATATTTAAAACTAACCACAGCTTGTCCTGGCTCAAACATAGCAACAAACTTAGTTAATAACAGAGCAAATTTTTGTATATCAAATTTCACAGCACTAGAAGAGATGGAAGCAGTACTATATGAACCTAAACTTCATTCTGTTGCATCTGAAGAAAGCTAATTACATTTATTCTAATATTCTTTTTTTTCCCCAACATGCTAGCTTTCAAACCTTTTGCCAGAGTTTGATGGAATTAAAAGCTATAACTTAAATGTTCCATTTTTATTTCTTGTTAAGAGATAAATGTTCAGTGAAGTATTTTTTTTAATTCTTTGCATGTTTTTGTAATGTGAAGTTGCAAGAATGACCACTATTCTATTAAATATTATTTTTTTTAAAAACGAGCTTGTTTACTTTTTAAATATGACCGATTCTTTTTATTGGCTTTTTACTGAAGTAATACAGTAAATATTTTCAGCTTCTCTTATTTCCTCCAATATTTTGTAACTTTAAGGAATAAATCAGAACAACTAACATATGTATTCATATAGTCCTGCTTGCAAAAGCTAAGGCTCAAACACTGTTTAACATCTAGGTCTTGTTACAGCTGGACAGAGAGATACACCACCAAGTATGTTATATGGTATTAAATGCAACCCACAAGCTATCACTTGCTAGGATTAACTGTTCCAAAATTATAGTTCTGTCCTTCGTTGCTAGTTAAAGGTAGCAACACCTTTGTAAGGCTCAGTGAATATAAAGGAATTGCTCTGTTGGATTGGGATTTGTTACTACTTGTCCTCAAAAACATGCTGTACTTCATCTGATGAAGAAAGATACTTGAGATGAAGGTTCTCCTTAAAACCCTGCCCCTTCTGTGCTAGCATAGCTCTGAATACCCATATTACAAACTGGGTACCAATTAAGAAGAAAAAATTGTGGCATTATGAGCTGTTTAAGGACAATATAGAAGTCTAAATTTATTTTATTTATTATATACAATTTAGATATTGTCCCATTAGTGCATGTATGACTTATGTGTTTACACTGGAACCACTAAAGTACAAAACCCCCAATCCCGAATCTTGATATCCGTCCCAGATGGATACCATGGCCAATGGTATCACGGGCCACAGAAAGATCCAGGAGGACCAGCAAGGCTACACTCCCTCCATCTGCCTCCCTTACAAGATTGTCTTGCAGGGCAGCCAGTACTATTTCAGTACCATGTTACAACCTAAACCTCAGTTGAAATATATTCAGATTATCAGTTTGTTTCAAGAATGCCTGAAACTGGTAAGCTACCACCCTCTTGATCTACATGCCCAAGAAAGGAATATTTGAGATGGGTTTGTAGTTCATATAATCCATTGCCAAATTAGTTTTCTTAAGAATGGGCCCTATTATACTTTTAAACAGGAAGGTATAAGGCCTTCCTGGAGAGAAGCATTGATGATATGGGTGGCCCATTCCACCACTGTGCCCTTGGCAGAATTTACTAGCCAAGAGAAGCAAGGACCTAAAATAGAGCTAGTAGCATTACAGTGTTCAAGTGCCTTGGCTACATCCTCAGATTTTACTAACTGAAACTGATCCAATTAAATCTAACTAGACAGGGTACTGGACATCTCAGTCTGATCTACTGGGATAAAGAGTGAGTCACGGTTGCGACAGATACGTTTAATCTTGAATCTGAAATGGGCTGCCAGTCAATTGTAATTCTCTACTCTTCGCTGTAATGTTTGCTTCTGTCAGGAATTTGTGAGACTGCAAACAAGAATTCCTCCTAGTGATTAGAGGCTACATTAATTAATTATTATAGACTCTTTATGTAGCCTTAATTAAACTTTGTCGTTGTTGTTTAGTCGTTAAGTCGTGTCCAATTCATTGTGACCCCATGGACCAGTGCACACCAGGCCTTCCTGTCTTCTACTGCCTCCCAGAGTTGAGTCAAATTCATGTTGTTAAACTATAGGATTTGCCAGGTGTCTCCCTGAATGCATCCAGGTTTTCCTCCATCTGCATCCAGAGCTTTCCTCCATCTGCTATCTAACCATTCTTCATAATTGCTTCATTGCCCTCAACTCTTCCGTAAACCACAGAGGATCAGACTCTGTACTGACAAGAGCATTTAGGAACGGTCATATCTCTGAACACCAGTGGGGGGACCTGAGCTTTAACTGGAGTTCCAACCAAATGAACTGGAAACTGAACACTTTCTGGAAACCAACAGTGAAGGTCAGTCATTCTAACAGATTCATCCACCTTGCACAGGAGTACTGCTGCACAAAATCCAAATCTCAGGAGGGGATGGTATGACCACAACAAGGCAAAAGAATCAAGGTTTACCATCTTCAGATCATCTTCTCTCTACCCGGATGTGAACATCAAATCCAAGGTATGCCCTGCTAAATGTATAGGACCTATAGCATGTTGGGACAGGCCATTGAACTAATTAACTCCAAGGCTGCCCCAGCAACTTGTGTCTCTGTGTGGATGTTAAAGTAATCCAGAAGCAAAAGTCTGGAGGGACTCAACGGTGCACTGGAGATATAGTCTATCAATCCTGGTAATGACAATGTGGGGTTATGGTACACCAACACAATTTCCACTCTGTTCGATTGGTCCAACATGAGAGGAGAATATTCCAGGCCTAAGCACCAGTGGTCAAAAATCCTGATGATATTAGAATTTCTATGGACTATGGCAACACCCCCCACCTCACCCCTTTGGTCTGCCATGATACTGGATTGAATATCCTGAAGGAGGTATAACTGGGAAAGGGCAATACCACCTTCCTCGCCCACCCATGTTTCAGTTATACAAACCAGGTCGACCTTTTAATCTACAATAAGATCAAATATTTACTCAGATTTATTTTGGACTGACTTGGTAAATGACAACGAACTAAAACATGTTACTCTATCTTTGTGGGAATATCCTTAATCCAGCTATGACAAACAGGAACTTTAGTGTTTTTATGCATTTTCTTGTTTCATGTGTCATTGCCTCTTTTCTGTGACTGCCAAGAGAACACTGTTATTCAATGACCAACACATCAGAATTGCAAAATGTTTGATTTGCATTAGTGAAGCTTTTTTACTTATAACCAAATCATATTTGCCACACCTCTAGTTTTGTCTCTTAGAGGGTTAAAAGGAGTACAAACTAGCTGTAATAACATGTTTATTCTCCCACAAAACCAACAAAAAAGTTTTAACAACAAAAACTATGGTAAATAAACGTGTTTTGAATTTTAAATCAGTTCACTTAACAGTTTGGCAATATGCCTAACAGAGAGCAATGACTTAATAAGAGAGTCTAGATGCAGCAGCTATAGACACTTAATATGGTGTACAAATCAAAACTTATAGTAAAACCCAGGGCCTAGCCAATACATTTCGCTGCCTGAGGCAGAGCAATGAATGGTGCCCTTCCCCATTCCAGTTGTATATGGATTTGGGGGGGGGGGGAGTAGACTTCCAAATGCCTGAAACTTAAAATGTCACAGGTGCCTCTTTCTGACCATAAAAATAAAATATAAAAATAAAATAATAAATTAAATATATCTTTATGCTTTAGAACTAGCCTTTGTAATACCTTTCCAGAAAAATAATGGTTTGTTTACTCTGTAGTGAGACAGAACCTTTTCCCTAGAATAATTATGCAAAGATAAGAAATGGGTGAGGGGATTCTGGGTCAACTAATTCAGAAATAACCAGCTTTCGGGTATCTAAAAATTGATAAAATAATAAATTAACTGAAGTAGGAGCAAATACAGAAAATAAATGCTGGAGCTCATTAAATGAATGTTCCTTATTGCAATGTTCATGGATTGCAAAACTCCCTTTGCCGATGAATGTTGACCGTGGAAGCCTCTATGTTTGTGGCCCAATGTTACTGAAGGGTATCTCAATCTGGTATCTGGTATTGCTGATTTTCTTGACACTGAAGGGCTTGGTGTTAATGGTTTGCAGCTTGAAAGCACTAAAGGACACTTTGATCTCAATCTCTATTTAAACTGGCTTTGGTACATTTAGTGTGTCCATCGCTTGATGAAATGCAGCATCAGAGCATACCAGTCAGCACCCACATGGTACAAAGAAGTAATGGTGCAAAGAAGTAATAAAGGGGTCTCCCCCCCTTTTATTGAGCTATAATGGGTAGGGTGATCTTGAATATCTCTTCTTCTCCCCAGCCATAACTCTTCTCAGTTGTCAGAAATTTTGAAACCAGCTGAGAGCAATATTTTGAGGATTGGTGTCAGGCGTTTTATCTCCTTTGTTTGGAGTAAACCACTTTTTTGTCAAGCTCAGGAGGACCCAAGTCTCCTCTATGAACCAAAGAAGCATCATGTAGTTCCCAGCTTGAGGGCCCAGCTTCCTTCTCTGACTTCAAGCCCAGACAGTTAATCTCTTCTGTGTGTCTGGATTCAGAAGTGGTAATCACTGCAGAGGGATGAACTAACACAGAGGCTAAAGATTTCTTATCTCTTTTCTTTACTTTTTTAGGTTTGGATTGATCCGATTCCAAAACTTTTTTTGTTTTCTTCAGAGTCAAAAGAGTTGGTGTTGATCGTTTCAGTGATTGTGACACCACTTGCTCCATTTTAGGTATGC